GTAGCTGAAGAAATGTGATCTGCTATCTTAAAAACCTGTGAGGTTTTTTTAATAATAAAATGCCTCTATTATTGCTGTGGAAGGGAGAAGAGAAGCTACTATTTTGTGGACATGGCAGAGTCATGCGCCTGGGGACAGAAGGTCACTGGTAACCTAACAGCTGTAACCCTTGTGTGTTGGCAGTAGGTGCTAAATATGGCCGCCTTGGGAGTTCCCTAGTGATCCAGGGGTTAGGACTTGGCACTTTCACTGCCGGGGCCTGGATTTCAATCCCTTGTCAGGGAGCTAAGATCCCATAAGCCATGTGGTCCAGCAAATAAATAAATAAGCAAGCCCATCTCCCCATCCCTTTGCCTCCTAAGTGATAGGTTTTTCTTTCCTTCCTTGACATGCAGAGTGCTTCATTTGGACCCAGGCCCCAGGACTGCATACACATTTCTGAACACTGTGAAACTTCTAGTCAGTTGGTAGTTTTGTCATCCGTGAAAGTGTTAGATGTCTGTTGACTGTCTATAAAAGCAAAGCAAGACCCAGCACCCCTCTGGTTAAGGCCGTGTTAGTAAAGAGTTGGTTAAGAATTGAGAGCCCGGCATCCTTCTGTCGCTTTCCTTGCCTTCGTTAGAAATTAATTGTTTTTGGCTGTGTGGATGAGGCAACTTATTATTCTGTTTTTAGCGTTTTTCTGTAGGGAGGTGGAGAGAGCTTATCTGTAGGACTTTGGGGAGAGAAAATTGTTTCATCACCAGTTGCTCATTGTGTGTGTGTCTTTTTTAGTGGGGGTGGGTGGGAATAGGTCTGCTTTCTATGCCTTCATCTTGGAAAGTGCTATCTTTACAGAAGGACTTGTTATTCCAGGAAAAACAAAACAGGGCTTTGGACACTGAAAAATGTATTAGGAAGTAGTTAACACTTAAAAACTGAACCAGCACATGATTTATGTTGTTCAAACTTAAAAACACCCCAGATAACTGAGTTTTTTAATTTTTGAGTTTTTATTTTGGGGGGAGAAACCAAGTTTGGATTTTTTTGATGAACTCTTTTATATGTCTTTTCTACTTAATGAGTTTCTATGCGTAATGTTCATACTTAACAAGTATCTTCTGTGTTCTTTTTTGTAGTATTTAGTGTTTTCTTAATATCTTATAATTCTATCTGTGGATAAACTTATTTACATTCTTGAGTTTTGCCTAAAGTTTTGCTCTACTTTGTAGAGTTGGATAGTGTAGACACATGCCCCTTCTTTAGGTACAGAAGAGTTTGGGGGTGACACACACAGTCAGCTGTATCATCAGAGAGACATCAGTTTGACAAAGGTTACTTTGCTGTGACTGTTTATGACAGTTGTTGCTTGTTCATTGGCCTCTGGTGATCAGAGAAAATTTATTGAAACACTAGAATGGGCTGTCTGTGGCTAATGTGTTTTGCTTCAATTCCTTAGGTGCAGCTATTTTTTTTGAATTCAAACACTACAAGCCTAAAAAAAGGTTTACCAGCACCAAGTGTTTTGCTTTCATGGAGATGGACGAAATTAAACCTGGGCCAATTGTAATAGAATTGTAAGTGATGCACATACAGAATGAGTACTAATGAATGGTGGCTAGTATCTCGTCTTAGTATGTGATACCTTGGAATCGATCTCTTATCAACAGTTTTTCTGTTGTGGTTACAGATACAAGAAACCCACTGACTTTAAAAGAAAGAAATTGCAGTTATTGACCAAGAAACCACTTTATCTTCATCTGCATCAAACTTTGCACAAGGAATGACCCTGACATGAGTATCCTGGAACTTCTGTGACTCTCACCACTCCGTAGAACCCGTCATTGCTCTGCGTAGCATACACACCCATCAACAGGCAGGAAGCAACCTGGACCCAGGCCGGCAGGCCAGAGCGAGTCCATTTCAAGCTGTAGCACAGAATTCAAAGTCCAGCACCACTGACATAACAGACTCTTTGGATACAGGCTTATTGTAGATCTTGAAATGTTTTCACTTTCCTATTAATTGTGCAATTAATAGTCTCTTTTCTAATTTACCACTACTCCCGCCCTACTTCCTGGAACAACACTGTTGTGGGTGGGATGTGCTCGTCTTCAAATGTAATACAGCAATAAGAATGTGCTAGAGTTTACACACCTGTCCACTTCTGCTCCAATATGCTCTTTAGCTTTCCGAGTTAATGTCAAACTTTGGGTTGATGTGGGGAGAAGAGCATGAGACTGCTTTAGAGGAAATGGGACCAATTTTGCTGCCCAAGGTCAGTCTGGAAGTTTATAGGCTGCTTCTTAAGAGACAGCCTCAGTTCACCCCGATCTCATGGTTTTCCTGCCTAGAAATCGTGTGCCTTGGCCAGTCTCCCACATGGGAGTGTTTGCAGGTTGTAGCTGGGATTTTTCCAGATGACCAGATTGTTCTTCTGAAAGTGAGCATATTTTTAGTCACATTGATTAGCTTTTTTCCTACATCACATTGTTACTCTTTCTGATAGTGATTCTAGGGTTAATGAAACCATCTCAGAATAATTACAAATTCTTGGTGGGTTTATAGTGTCTTCTAAATCATGTAATCTAAAAATAATTTGAGTCAGATGCTAATGAGATACTGCAGGAATAACTGCTGTTTTTCTGACAACTGATTGTGAAACCTTAAAACCTGCATACCTCTTCTATAGTGATGAGTATGCAAATCTGGAGATATTCTATTTTTTTTTTTATATAGGTAGATAGGATTGCCATTTATTTCCTATTTAGATATATTGACATTCATCCATATGGAAATATGCAGGTCATTAGCTTATTATAATTTGACTATTTACATTCTTTTGACTTAATAATGGGGCCTAAATAAAACTTTCATAGTACATACACGGTGGATATTTGATACACAGAACATGAAGATTTGGGGTGGGCGTTCTGTGGGTTAGATGTGGAGCCCACATATTTAAAATTCACTATTTTAAATGACCAACACTAGAATGAGCAAAATGCAGTGCCAGTACTTGGCCTATTTTTTAACTAGTGTAAACAAGCCTAGTCATACCATTCAGTATGTTTGCTTTTTAAAATAAGTAACCATAATTCAGTTCCAGCTGTTACACTTCAGAAGACCTAGTCTCCACTTTCAGTTGTCTGTCGAGTCAGTTCTCTTTACTATCATAGATTTAAGAATTCTCAACAAAATTGTCTTGCCTCTCATCTTCATTAGATTAAATTCAAAATCATTTCACCCACAATTATCTTGAGGGGATGAAGAGTTTGCCTTAATTATTACTTTGTTGTTCATGCAGCTCTTATATAGACTGTGCGTTGTCAGCCCACCCCCACCCCCACCCAGAGTGTGAGCTCCTCAGGGGGCAAGAACCACCTTTTCTCCACGTCATGCACATTTTCTAAGGTGCTTGGCAGCACTCTGTACCCTGTGGAGTACTCAGTACCTTTGGTTTGATGTTGCTGACAAGACCTAAAAATAATCCCTTAAAAAAATCTACCATTAAAGTGTAGCAAAACTGATATATATTGTTCTCTTTTCTCATAGACCGTAAGACAGGAATATCAAGGTGATCATTTATGTCACATCTGCTGTCATTCACAAAAGTATGGTTTAGATGAACTACAAATGCCTCTCATCAGTATTAACAAAAACCTTAAATGGAACAGAGTGATTAGCTTAGCTTTGTAATTCAGATCTGAATAACAAAATGAATTGACACAGTAGACAGAATACATCCCACAAATTCTTTTCAATGAAAAAAATAAGTTATTGAACAGTAACCACAACTATAGACTTTCAGGCTGAAATATTGCTGCTCCATAAAAGATGATTTTAGCAACTAAGCCAAGAAAACAGTTAGCTGGAGGCGACTTCTGAAATAGATGTCATTTTCGAGATTGGCCAAGTCTGATGGAGCTGAGGAATGATGCCCCCCGCACCCTCTCTCAATTGGCAGCTTGTCTAGGCCGTGCTGAAGAAGTGGTGCAAACAGAGGGTTCTGGGAGGCAGCAGTGTTGGCAGGTTCAGGGCCACTCAGGCTACACTTAGAATTTCTCTACAATTTACTGATTTTTCAATAAAATGAAATATAAAATTAACACCAAAAAAGGCTTTAGAGGTAAAGGCAAAAAAAAAAGCCTCCAGATTTGATTTTTAAAATAGATTTAATGTACCTTTGCTACTTTATTATCTTCCTAACTGGTATAATCTATATTTAAATATTAAATTCTGAAATTATTATTCACCATTATTTTGTGTCCTGAAGAGATCGATATACTCAAAAGCTATATTTGGACTTAATCTATTTTACATGGTTAAAAATAACTATGGAGTTTTCCTCTTAAAATTTCTTTTTGATATTAAATAGGACATAGAGATGGAATTTCCTTTTCCTGAAAAACTTCTTATATACTCATGAATTTTGGAAGACTTGTCTTTCTTTAAAGGCCTTTTACTTCAGTATTAAGAAAAAGTTTTTGTTTCACAGTGAAGAATTTACTTTTAAGGTATTCTTACTGGATTACTCTTAATGGTGGCAAGTCATGGTCTAGATATCATTAGGTTCATCACATTATAGAACTCGAGAGAATAGAAGAGTATGATCTAGCTGTGAACAAGAATGTAAACCTTTTGTAATTTTGATTTAAAGAAATCTTATTCTTAAAATGTACTTAGTTACTAGAGTTTGAAGTGTCTGATAAGTTAGGACTTAGAAATATTGTTCAAAAGACATTGTATAGTAATGAGTGTAGTAATTATGGTGCATCCCTAGATTCTCAGATTTATTTACTTTTAAATGTAAGTGTCAGGATTCAAATATTAATTTTGTAGTAGTATCAGTCAATGAAAATAACTGAGTTCAGCCCATGGTTGCTGACCTACAGCATGTTACAAGTCTTATGATCCTAAATCATTCTTTCTCATAGTATTATATATGCTTTGGTCTTTTTTTGCCATATCCCTTGAAAGCCAGTGGCAAGGGATAGGAGAAATAATAGACTCTACATCTTTTAAAAGAAATTTTCTTACTTTATGGTCGCAACACATTTTCATTTTTCTGTTACGCACCCTTAACATAGTAACAGTAAAAGCAACAGAACATCAGGTTAAACAACTCTTATTACATGTAAACTCATACTCAGAAAACCAGTCTTAAGTCAAAACCAATCAGAGTCACGAGAAAGCACATGAGTGCTGTCCAAATAGGCCCGCTGACTTCTCTGAAGTAGAAGGAAGGCATCAGTTGTGATGCTTCCCGGTGACTCTGAGGTTGAATGCCTGAGCAGTGGGTCACCATCTTCAGTTTTGGGAGCTTGAGTTTACGTGTTTCCAAAATGGTATAAATCTCAGGAGAAAACAATCCAATGAGTCAACAGACACTTGGGAAATATTAATAACCAAATTTTTATGAACTATTACTACAAAGAACTTAAGCAAGAGGGGAGATAAAATTTTAGTGATCTTTAAGTAAACATTTTTAGCGTAACAGCCTTTGCGACCAGATATTTTTTAAAAATCAAGCTTATAAATACCATTGCTCTATATTCAATTGGTGTACACTAAAAATAGGATAATAAATGGAAATACATGTTCTTATAGCATTTCCACAGGAAATGTTCATACTTTTCACAACATTCTAAATCATTTAGCAATAACATATGCTACATGAACTAAAACACAGGTATTTTTTTATTGCACATTTCAAAGTTGGAAGGAGGCTCCAGCTTACAAGGTGGTTTTGTATTTTAGGGGGGAAATGATATTTTTTTAATTGTTTGGCTCAAAAATGCACACTGCCAGGGCAGCTTAAAAACAAACCTTTTAAAATCAGATTTTGGATTTTGAAGCCAATGAAAACCGTAACTGTAACGAATAGTGCACAGTCCACTTTCTCTCAGACTGAATGTCCAAGGTCAGTTATGGGCTCTGTTTTAAAGCCGGTGAGCAGTCCTGGCTAGTGCCCTGAGGGGCAGGCGGGGGCTCATCTCTGGAGCCGGAGGGTGGTAAGTCTCTTGCAGCAGAGGAAGGTGGATAATCCTGGGGCCCATGGGTTGGGGGTGGTAATCGGGGACCAGGAATAAAGTACTCTCTTGGGCCAAGAGAGCCTAAAGGTCTAAAAGGTGCATGTCCTGGTGGTAAAAATTCTCGAGGATCAAGAGGCGGGTCCCGTTTTCCCGGTGGTGGAACACCTGGTGCATATTCTCTTAAGCCTAGCGGTGGACGCAAACCAGGACCTGAAAAAATTAAAATTAAGTCATGTAACTACGTATAAACACACCTAAATTTAGACAGTTCCCGGTATGTTAATCAATTTCTCATACCCCTGGAAGTCAGGTGGTGGCTCCTGACTTTACAGATGAGGCAAACAGGTTCAGCAAGTTTAAGTTACATGCCTGTGGCCAGCCAGTCACAAAACAATAGAGGCTGGATTTCAACGTGGCTCTACCTAGCTTGTGTTTTTTTTTCAATTATACAATTCTGCTGTCTATATCTCGTAAGAGCTTGATTTGTACTCAGAAATACTATGCATCATACCAAGATGATAGATTATGAAATAAGGGTTTCACTGTAAGTAAATTTTGATAAGGGAAACCCCAGTTACTGTGTCAATTAGAAATGCACACAGGTGCTCAGCATGGACCTACACATGCCATCAAAATCAAGGTGTCTGCCCTGCCAGGAAAGGCCTGCCAGCTCCACCTAATTGAATTCAGCAGCTTTCCACCTATTAGCTGTTGCATTCTACCTTCTCAACACTTCCTTCCTATTTATTCCCAAGGTGGGTAGTGATGGCTTCATCTTTCCTTTTATACTCTGTGACCCATTGCTTACGCTTCTATTATGGTGATTACAAGTTTTATGTTGTATAATGTACGTTTGTGTGTCCTATAGGATCCCTTAAGCTCGTGGAGTTAGGACAGTTAATTCTATCCACTACAGAGCCTAGTATGAAGCCAGAGATGTCCAAGCAACATAGGCAGAAGTAGTATTTCTGACGTTCTATGAACAGTCCCTTTTCCCTGTCTACAAGAGATTCCTCCTGTCCATCTCAGTACAGGGAGATGATCCAGCACCCCTTGTGTCCTAAGAAACTGGTGGAAAAGTTCAAATGTGTCAGCCAGCTTTACCCTTTCACTGCACAGCCCTGTGACAGCAACGTTAACATTTTACCAAGGATTAGAATGAAAAGATGAGTACACTTTACAAGTCCATCACTACCATTCAGTCATCATACCAAAGGGTGGAGGAAGTGGCCGAGGTCCGAAAGGCCCACAGAGCTGAGGAGGTGGTCCGTATCGGATGGGCGGCAGGAGCGGGCCTCCCACGGGGGAGCTCATGAGGGGTGCCCCTGGGAAGGGAGGGGGCCCTTTTGCAGCCATACTAACCTGCAAAGCAGAAGTAATGAAAGTTCTGAAATACCTGGATATAACAGATAAAAGCACCAACACCGTAAGAGCTAAAACCCACTGAAGCAGATGTCAGGCACTTGTTCAAAGAGCCAACTAGCGCAACAGAAGTCCACCCCTCCTATCCATCCCCCTGAGAGCTCAGGCGGGTTAAGAGAATGTTAGAGGAAGGAACACCTTCACTGTAATCATACTGCTTGTATGTGCAAACAGAGAGGAAGCAAGAGGACTGTCCAAGGATATTAACAGAGGCGATTCCCAACTGAGAAAACCATCATACCACACACACTATAACCTGTGTCTAGGGCAGCCCCTCCCTCCCTTCACCACAAGAGCTCCTTTTTCCATATGAAGAATGGAGAGAATAAGGAATGAAAAAATCCATTTTCACACACATATAATAAAAGCTACTATACAGAGTACCTTCAATTTCCTTTCATATGCTATAAGATCTCCTCTTGTTTTAAACATGAGGGGAAAGAGGCACAGAGAGTATTAGATAATTTGCTGAAGGTCACAGAGCACAGAAGAGGCTGAGTTAGAATTCACTACAGGAGGTCTGACTCCAAGCCTGCATTCCTCCCCTGCCTCCCCTCTCTTTGAAGTCTGCCACTCCCAAGGGGTCTTGGGTCTTCTCCAGGTTGCCCTGGGATAAAAAGAGCTCTCAAGCGATGTGTCCTCCTAGAGTCCTGCCCTGGAAGTCGAAGAATTTCCACACCGAGACGGTGCTTTGTACACCCAAGTTCCACACGCACAGCTCTTAACAGCCACCCTCGTTCCCCAGTAACGCCATCCTTTGTACTATAAAGCACTAACCTGTACTTCCCTACGGCAAACTGGGTTGGAAATTCTCAACAATGAAAATATGTATCTTGATTTCAACACAGTAAAGCACTCTGAGTTATAATCACAGGACTCACCAGCTGTCACAGCTATGCAAGTTGCAAGAGAAGACCCTTATGTGAACATAATTTAAGGCTGTTGCTGGGAAATGGCATAATGGGTAATTAAAGATTTCCACTATTCAGTATTTCACTTACAGCAATCAACCTCTGTTACCAATCTGTAATTTCAGATTACTCACAATACAGCACAGGGCTTGCCTAGTATACAACTGGAGATATTCTTAAATAGCATAATTCCAATAGCATACTTCCAAATAAATACATAATAATGATGAATTTATGCAATATATGATGAACTGATTTGCCTTAGAGCTCTCATCATTGAAGCACACACCATATAGTGTTGGAGTGATTAATTTTTCACATTTTTTTAAGGTTATTTACAATAGATGTTCTAAAGAGATCAATCACTTAACCAAAACAGGAAAAAGGAGTAAAAGCCAACCAACTAGACTTCAGCAACCCAGAAACACTTCGAGGTCATAAGGTCAGAATCGCCATGCAATTTTAAGCAAAGCAGATTAGTGTCATGCTCCTTGGAACTTTTCTAGAAATACACGAAGTAGAAAATGCAGTGTTGCTCTCAACCTCTAAGTACTTACTGATACTGGATGCTCAGCCAAAGAAGGAATGCTGGGAACTGAAGGGCCTTCAGGCTCTTGGGGAACAGTTTGCTTTTTCAAAAAATAAATGAGACGGTACAGATAGAACACATAAAAGGGAGATGGATGAGGCAAAGAGAGGATGTTGTAGAAAAAGTTAAATGTGTCTGGAAATACCTAATAACAATTCAAAATGACTGCAGATTTTACCTTGCCCTCATCCATCACCTTAGAGGGTGAAGAGCTTCTGGAGCTGCTGTTCACTGTAGGAGCAGCGCCGGATTCTGGATCTGTGGGAAGCCAGAGAGCAGACTTAGGCTTGTTCTGACTTGTATATGCGCTTTGAAGGACTACAAAGGCCTCCGCCCACTTCCTTCACAATCTGAGACTCTGAAAACACACTCAGGTCCCTTACCAGAGGCAGAGGGTTTCCCAGATGCCTCAGAGGCCCATCGAGATCGAGGGAGAGGCCCATCCACTGATCCTTGAGAGAGAGGTAACAGAGCCCTTGCATGAATTTTTCAGAATAAACCAACTGTGGACAGGTCAGGGTTCAATTCTACGTAAAGCAAAATTTAAAACAGGTCTCCCAATACATGTGAGGAGAAATCACTTAACAGTTTATGCACAAACCTATAGAATTAAAATAAGAACTATGTTGGATTGAAAGACCTGCACATTAATAGCGCCAGCACCAGTCAGGTACTTCAAGCTACCAGCAATTGTTCAGACTTTTCAGTCTATATGTAATCTGACTTCTATATCTTAACAAGTACAAACACATTTGTGATTAGAACTAGACTTAAATAGCATTTCATATTAAAGTAATGAGAAGTAGATGTACACTGCATTAACTATAAAGTTTTAAGGCTACTTTTATAATATTCAAGAGAGGATCTCAACAGAAATTTAAAGATAAAAGGTTTATACTTCACAACAAAAATCTGAAAAGAAACAATAATCAATGATACCTATATATATACTGTTTATAAATATGTTTACATCTATGTTCACATATAATAAATACAAAAGTATCATAATAGTAAATAAATGCTTTTTGTTCTAAAGCAGATCTAAAGCAGACTATTTACTCACCAAGACAAATTAATCCCTCTTTATATTGGACAGACCCAAATTCTCAACTGTTGCTTACATTAGCAACAGGATTCTCAAAGAAGGAAAGAACTCTTGAAACAGTTTACCACAAGGTAACATGGCAATGCTCACCAAATTCACTTCGAGGCATCTCTCTTCGATTAAGTGTAGCAGACAGAGGTCTTGCCGGTGGGTCTGCTGTCAGCGGTGGGGAGCATTCTCCACCGCTCACAGGAGATGGGCCAAAAGAGCCATTCTGGCTCAGGGGACCTGCAGACAACGGGGAAGAGTTGGCACTTTAACCTTTTTTTCTTTAGTAAGTTCTTGGAATTATTTCTAGGGCATCATAAATATTACACACATATTACAGAAATAAAAGTAACTTAAACACATTTTTCACCAAAATATAGACTGCTGCCATTTACAAGTACTCCCTACCTCTCCGTGGAGGGTTTTGTGTGTTGGGCCTTCCTGGCATTGGTTTTACAATCACAGGTTCTTCTTGCATCATTACCATCTTTTGGGTTAGTTCCAATAATCTTGAATATAAAGAAAGAATAGACTTAAATATGAAATAGAAAATTCCTTACTGGATATCATGGCACAGCCTTTAAAAACTCTTAAAACACACTGGAAATGTAAGCTTTAAAGCCACATACTTATGTCTCAAGTTGGCAGCTTCTCTTTTCTCTTCAGCTATAGCTCTTTCTGCAGCACGTGCTTTGAGCTATTGGGAGGAAAAAAATCCAAAATAAGCTGTGATAGACCACACAAAATAAAGAAAAGAAAAAAAAAAAAATCTCACCCAGTTATCGTGAGCTTTCTTCTCATGAGTAGCAATCTGAAAAAGACAAGCCATCAAGAAATATGTTCAAGGATTCCCTACAACAGCTACTGTAATCATCTGTATCAGACAGCAGAGAATTCTGCCCTGCAGGGCAGTATAATTTACCTGGTTTTTAAATGAGCGCTCCGTTTTCTGTAGTTCCTCCTCCATTTCTTCAATTCTCCGCCTAAGGGTTAAACTTCCTTTTATTATTTAAAGTACAACTGAATAAAATTTTACACAATCTTACCATGTTCCCTTTAATAACTGTACCCTTTCAGACTTCACTCATACATACAAAAACACATTTTGCATGGTTATAGGAACACACTGTGATCACAACTAATACTATATAATTTCCTTTATTATTTAAGAGCTAGAGATTCTGAATTGATACACTTGTAATTTCCTTAACTGCTCTTCATATGTTCTCAAACAATCCTGCTATAAATCTTTTTCCAGAAAGCTGTTTCTTCTTTTAATTATATCCACAGAAAATCTTCCAGAGCTATGACTACTATCATTTTAATGATTTTTAGATACATCATACAGCAAACTGCCTTCCAAAAGAGAATTTCTCCAAAATATAAAACCACTCAGAACTGCTGGCGTGAACCAAGCTCCCTCAGTCTTGCTAGTATTGGGTGTAAGGAAATTTCTGTTAATTTAACATTTTTTCCTCTGTTAACTTAAACTTTATGTTTTCTCATGTTAATTAAACGCTTTGACCATTTATTTCTGCTCTGGGGCTATTTTCGTTCTCACAGTGTATGTTCTGGAGAAAGCCTCGAGGCGCCTCACCGGCCGCTGACACGCTCTCAGAGCCCCAACTCACTTGTAGGTTTTCACTTCCTCTGCCGCCAAAACCGCCTTCTCGTCTGCAGCTGACAGCCGCTGCTCTCTCTCTTGCCGCTCATACTCTTCTTGACTCAATTTCCTAAGATAACATCAGTTGTCAAATCAAAGTGCTTCTCTTTTTTCCCAGCATTCTGTCTAAATGTCCCTAGGTTACTTCCCATCCTTTCCAAAACATATTCATACAAAGTCACAGGAAGGAATTCACACCTGCCACTTAGGGATAAAAATCAAACTCTGCCTGTTGGCAACACTTGCATTTTCTAACTTTTCACAATTGTCTACTCAGTAATAAATGAAACAAACAAATGGAAAAAAATGCTACACCCCACGGGGAAGTTTCTTGTGTTTGAGACAATGAGAGCTCATTTTACTTCAATATGGAGAGCCAGGGCTGATCAACCTAATAGAATCAAGCTTATTAGGATAGAGCAGGGGATAATTACGGCTTTATTTCTTCCATGGAAAGACATGTAATTACTTCTCTTGTTTCAATCTTGGAAGGACTATTTCTCAATCCAGACTGGCACCATGATAAATGGTCCTCAAAAGCATTTTAGAAAGTTTTCTAATTGTGCAATTAACCACAGAACACTTCCACACTTCAGATGTGGAACTTCTACTGCCTATGTCAATGGAACTGTGGTTAGAGGAAAGAGAAAAATCAGAATTGACAGTGTCTCCTGGATAGAAAAAGAATCTAAACTGTCCCATAATCAGAGTATCACCTACTAGAAACTGGTTTTAACTTTCAAGTTCCAAGATATTAATATAACAAATTGTAATGGTAGCAACATGTGATAATGGTTTTAAAATGCTATTTATTTTTTTTAACCTTTCTGTTTCTTTGACTATAGTTCTGATTCAAAAGAAACTTGAAACTTAGTTTCTATGAATAGGAAGCATAATCAGAAAAACCACAGTAAAAACAGTAATCACAGAGAAAAAGAGTTATATATTCTTTTGTAACTGTCCATTCAATACTTCAGCAAGTGTCTTATGGATGGCTAAAATATATTGGTTACCTAGTAAAACGCTAAAGATAAACAATATGCGTAAAGTACTCTCCCTGTACTAATAGAGTGCACTGTTGAATGCAGTTTAACAATGCACTTAATCACAGAACAACCCCCTAACTCTGGCACAGGAAGAGATGTGAGAAAACTGGGTCTTGAAGAAAGATCAGAAACAATTTTCCTTCCAGGAATGAATGTGTGAGAACATTAAAAACATTAGACAAATAGAAAATTAGGCAAAATATATAGAACATTAGACAAAAACATAAAGAACGTGCTTGAAGGCATCAAGCTAATACATGAGGTCACAATCCAATAAAAAAAGGAATTTCAGAATTACAAGTAAGCCTGCCATCTAAAGCCACTTTTCCCCTAGGTTTGACCTATGCACTGAAGACAGTGAAGAGATACAAGGAGGCGGAAGAGAGTTCCACAGATTCCCGGGTGCACAGAAAACAAAGCAGAGCTAAGGGGTCCCAATGAGGGGGTCCTAGTAGAAGTCTTGGGCTATGTTGAGACTAGAAAGAATTGTGTCCTTGGAGTACCAAACAATGCAGTGTCTGTCCTTTGAATGAACTAAGTCATCTCTGAATGATCTTTCTTGCTGACTAAAGTAATGGCCACCTGCTAGAAACAAACTTTTTTTTCTTTAGGAAAATAATACCATCCTAGGCCTCCAATTCCCTCTACAGTGCTCTCCACTCAATCAAAAATGCCCAGGCACCCCCCAAGACACTGTGATTAAAACCTGAAAGACAACAGAAATGACTCATTGAGGATCCACATAATGGATTTATTACACAGGCTTTAAAATAACTGTGCCTTACATATTCACGGAAGTAAAGATTACGAATTTCAGCAAAGGATCAGAAATATAAAACTAAAACACAGTAACTGAAATTAAGAACTCAACGAATGATTTTAGTAGCAGATTTGATAACTGAAGTGAGATGCTAGCACATTAAAAGATAGGTCAGAAAAAAACATCCAGAATGAAGCAAATACAGATGACGATGTAGGAGACACAGGAGGAAGTAATTTTTAAAGATTTAAATGGAATCTCAGAGAATGAGACAGAATTAATATGCGGATTAAAAACCCCAAAATTCAGGAGGTGTCAATGACCTCAAACATAAATGCAAAACAGACTGGGGGTGGGGGGGTGGAAGGAGAAGAGAAATAAAAACCAAAAACACCCATACCTAGGCAGCTCCTAATAAAACTGCTGAAAAACCAAAATAACTTTTAAAGACCACAAAGGAAAGGGTGAGACATTTGAACAGGGAAAATAAGAGTGATACTGGATTTCTTGAAGAAACTTTAAAACCAGGAAGAAATTGGTTATCTTTAAAGTGCTGGGATTAAGTAACTTCAAAAATCCCAGTGCCAGCAGAAGATCCTGAGAAAAAGGACTCAAAATAAAGATGTATTCACACAAAGATAAATTGGCCAAATATGTCACTAAAGGATGTTCTTCAAAGTAGAATGAAAGTGATTCCAAATGAGAGACACCAAAGGTGCAGGGGAGAAGGAAGAACTACAGGCAGACCTCAGACATACTACAGGTTCAGTTCCAGACCACCACAATAAAGCAAAGAAAGAAAGAGACTTTTGGAACTTTTTTAGTCTCCCAGTGCATATAAAAGTTCTGTTTACACTGTACTGTAAGTAGTCTACGATAAAGTGTGTGACAGCATCATGTCTGAAAACCACAAACAAGCCTTAACTACCGAACACTTTACTGCTAAAATATGTAACCATCATCTGAGCCTTTATGATCATTTTGTAATAGTAACATTAAAGATCACTGACCACAGATCACCAAAGCAAATACAGTAATAATGAAAAGAGTCTGAAATACTGTGAGAATTACCAAAATATGACACAGAGACATGAAGTAAGCAAATGCTGTTGAAAAAAATGGTACTGACAGACTTGCTTGACTCAGGGTTGCCACAAACCTTCAATTTCTAAGAAATGTAGTATCTGCAAAGCACGATAAAGCATAACACAATAAAATGAGGTATGCCTGTAAATTAAGTGACTACTGACAGGAAAGCACTATAGTGGACAATAAAAACAACTTATGGAGTTCAAATATACAAAGAATTAAAATGCAGGAGCATCTAAGTCAGGATGTCTATTAATTTAATAAATCTAGGATACATGCTGTCATCTTTAGAGTAATTACATGAATATAATTAAAGCAACCAATAACTACCTAGCTTACACAGGGTAACAGCAGAATTCTGACAAATATTCAAACAACCTAAAAAACACAAAGAAGGAAGAGAAAAAAGAACACAGAACAGGCCACCAAATACAAAGAAAACATCAATATGCAGACTTAAACCTTAACAGGTTTAAATACATTATATTAGGAATGACATTACAAGGAAAAAGAAGGAATTACATTATAAGAAAAAAATTAGTACTCTGAATACTCACCTACTTATGTCATAACTTACTCTAGAAAAGATTTTAAGGCACATAACCATTTGAATAGGCAGGAGATTGCCAGGTAGAAATAAAGTAAAAGGACATTTTTACTGCAGAAAAGGCAGTATGTATAATGACAAAGAAGCTCAGAGTGGCATGAAGGAACTGTGGTCAGGCTGCAGGTAAGGCAGCATCAGGAGTCACAGGAAATCCACCTGGAGAGGCAGGTCAGGATGGCGAAGGGGCAGTGCCCTGTGTGCCTGCTGAAGAGTTTGAAACTGATCCTGAAGGAATGGAGCCTCCTTGACAGATTTTAAGCACATGACAATATAAAAGGACTCGTGTTTTGGGAAGTTTGTTCCAGCAGCTGTAGGCGTTGGAAGAGGTATAAGAGAAACTGGAGACAGATGAGTGGTTAAGGTAAGGGGTGTCAGAAGAGATGATTCGAGTCTGAGCACACACAATGGCTTTGGGGGTGGAGTGCAATGTGTACCCTGGCATGCTGACTGAGTGGATGCTAGAGAGTGTCCTGTCATACTGACTTTATGTATCATAAAGAAAGGCAATTGCCATTCAGGTAATTCAAATTACTAGTGACTACTAGTAGCAGAGAATTGCTTTTAAAAAAAAATAATAAATAATGAAATGAGAAATATTTGTCTAAAGCAAACCCGGTGCTTAGAGCTGGCCTGAACAGAACTCGGAAAATCTAAACTGATTTCTTGGTGAGGAAAGAATTAAGAGAAAAAGTCAGTGGTATGGTTTCAATGTTTAATGGCATCTGGCAATAGTAACCAAAGCATTTGGAAAAGATTAAATTTCCTTAGCAAAAGCAGCTTTCTCACAGACTGCTATAAACACCAAAGAGTGAACTACAGGAACAAACACAATTAGCAACTGCCGCCAATAAACTACTTTCATAGAGAGTTCAGGTATTTTTGTGAAGAAAATTTTAAAATGAACTACAAAAGTGTACCTTTCAAAAGTTACATAACTCCTAATTTGAGATGTGTTTCAAAAGATTAATACCTAAATATATACACCAAACAGGTATTTCTAAATTCAAAACTCCCAATAACCTTGCCATATTTATGTATTATATACGTATACTCTGAATATTTGACCGTATTGAGTCCAAAAATTTACAATACTGTCAATAAGTAAATACTCCTTTTAAAGTATACTGATTCTACTAAAAATCATATTAAGAACTAGAAGAACAAATATAAGACCAATAAGAAGGATGTAAGTGACAACAAAAAAGTGGAACAAGTGGTAGAGCTGCAGAAAGGGTACAGATCATAAAAAAAACACTTTCAGAACAGCAACTATTAGTACCAATAACTACCACCCTTCAGGTAAATTACAGGCAATCATTGCTGACAATTAGTCAAAATGGGAAAAAAAGATGCAAGTTATGGGAAACAGGGTAGAAAAGGAAGAAAGCCAAATTTATACTAATTATAGATAGAAAATACAATAAACAATCTTTAAAAAAGACAAGACTATATACAGTAGCACATGCATTCAGTTAGATGACAACATTGTTAGCAACGAAGCACGATAATCTTACTTCTGTAGAGCCATCTCCTTCTGCTGATAGAGTTCATTTAGAATCTCTACTTTCTGCCTTAGTGTTTTGCATTCATCTTCCAGCACAGTTTTGGCAGACTGAAGTGAGCTGCGATCCTCTTCTAATTTCTTTATTTGGTCTGCAGGGGATAAAACATTTTAGTTCTGTGTGTGTGCACAAGAACTGGAGAACTCGCTGGGGGGGGAGGGCAGTATTAAAGGGGGTGAAAAAGATGGAAAAAGGATTTATTTTTCCAACAGCAATTTCTTTTTAAGAAGCAACTTACCTTCCAGGTTACATTTAGTGGACATAGAGGCTCTGAGTTTACACTGTAAAAGTTTTAGATCCTCTTCAACTACTGATATTGCAGTCTGTGTCTAAAAATTGCAGAAGAGAAAAATATTCTTAAAGTAAGAATTCTTGGCAGTAAATTGTCCTATATTTACTATTCTTAATAATAAATACTCTAAATATTCTTAATAGTAAGACTATTACTATCACAGACACTTAAGAGTGGTGCTGGTTTAGTCGCTTAGTCATGTCTGACTCTTGCAACCCCATGGACTGTAACCCACCAGGTTCCTCTGTCCGTGGGATTTCTGAGGCAAGAATACTGGAGTGGGTTGCCATTTCTTTCTCCAGGGGATTAAAGTACTCTATAAAAAGGATTATACCCGAGAAACGTCCATCATCTGCTTAATCTGATTTTTCACCTTCTCACTCCGGTCACCTAATAAAAAAAAAACCAACAAAAGGATTTCATTGCTCTTTCCTTCCTTACTGTTTAACTATATGTCCTTGATTTCCCCCAAACAATTACCATGTTCAAACATTCAAAGAAAAAACAAACTAACCAAAAGAACTGATTAGCCTATTTGACTTCCAAGAGATTTGCAAAGTTAGATTGAAAAAATTAATGAATTCCCAGTCTGTACAGTAAAAACATCCATGTAGTTCTTGAGCAAGAAGAGATACATGAAATACAGCTTTTCTTCTCTCTTGGACCTACCTGCCCCCAATTATCTTATTTAGAAAGACGCACTCCTCTTCTCTTCCCTTGAACCCACTACCAGGTGTAGTTTAAAACACTCCCAATATGGGCAACATTCAACCTGGGATGCATTGTCTAGAAATACCTCCCTCATCAGTAAACACTGCTGCCCTTTAGCTTCCACTCTCGTTGCTGAGTTTGCAGCTCCCTCCAGCTCAGTACTGTTAAAATTGGTTGCGGCCCTAAAACCACAGAGCTACGGATACAGCACACATGCAGCTGAGAAACAAGTTCCTCCTCCTGAAGAGTGTTCAGGATGCTGGAGTGAGACAGGAGTGAGACAGGACTGACGCTGCTCAGGCGCCAGTGCACACACCCAGCTCTCAGTGGGATGGAAAAGCCAAGTCAGTGTTTACTGCAGGCCTGGCTGTACTACAACCCAGCGTCCCACTCGGCCCAGGGCACAGAGACCTGTATACAGTCCCTCAGTGGCCCCAAGAGCCTGGCCCCAGCACTGCCTTCCCACAACGCCCCCCGCAGGAAACCAAGACCGATGGTGCTCAAGTACTTTATATAAGATAGCGCAACATCAGAACATAACCTACACAGACCCTCCCAAATACTTCACCTCTAGGTTACTTATAATACCTTATACAATGTAAATGCTAAGTAAACAGGTGCTGGCATGAAGCAAATTGAAACTTTGCTTTTTGGAATTTTATGGAATTTTTCTCCTCCCAATATTTTCAAAATGCAGTTCGCTAAATCTGCAGATGCAAACCCACAGATTTGGATGGCTGACTGTACAAATTCAGTGACAGGTATCTACAGCTGTAACCCTTAATAGGAAATTCAGTCCGCTGAAAAAAGCATCAGTGTACTTAAAGACAAGAACGCAGAAAGAGGTCCAACTGCCCACCAATCGTACCTCCCACTTCTCCATTTGCTAATTCATCTGAGTCATTTCCTCCTTTATTTTGATCCTCAGATTCAGATTCACAATCTAACCGATTCAACTGTGTAATGCAATTAGTCAAAGCCTAGAAAACAAGCAAAAGGATATTTATTAGAAACAGCCTCTCAATTTCAACTGCACAGATTTTATGAGAATTTATGAGAATTAAGCATGTATTCAGGAAAATGAACTCACGTTAATATTGTCATCTTTGTGAGTGAGAGCCACTTCTAGATCTTTCTGAGACTTCTCATACGACCTGATTTGCTCACTGAGCTCAGCATGTGATTTACTCCAGTCTTTGATTTCTTGCTGCAACTGAAAAGTTAAAATACAAGAATTTCCAAACATTACGGCTTCTGCAGAGGAGGCAGCAGGACCACATGAACGAGACAGGAAAGCAGGGAGCTGAGCTCCTCTCTGGCTTGTCACCATGAGCTACGGCTTTGGGAAACGGAGAGGAGAGAGTGGCTCCAACACTCAGAACTGCACTGAACACCTAAGAGCTGTCACGACATTGGTCTAGTGTACTGCATCCTTCAGAAATCTGTTGCCAGTTCAAATAACTCACTTCCAGTAGGAACCGAAGGGCACATATCTCACTGCCTACCAAGTCAAGACTCCACATCATGTAACCTTCTCTTGGTCAGAGAGGCAGTAACTTCTCAAAGGAGGGTAATAAATACCTAATTCTTTGGTCTAAGAAGCAGATCCATCGCCCCCTTGTGGCTACTCAAGTTAGTAACTGGTTGGTGCAGGATGAGACAAAGACTAAACATTCTGATAGCTACAGGGAATTGTATAAAAGAGAAAACCCAGAACAGATGGAGAATGTATACATGCACTCAATCTGGGAAGCACAGTTTATACTTTGCATACCTAAAAATAGAACTCTGCATACATACTTCATTTTCTTAAAAACATATCCAAGAAGTGATAATACTTGGTTTTCTAGTTTAATCTATGATGCTAACTTTCCTTACCTGCTCTTTCTTCTTCTTAAGTCTAGCATTTTCTTCTTGAACCCGATGGCATTCAGACTTCACTTTCTCTTCACTAAGTTTAGCTTCATTAAGGGCAATTTGAACCTAATGCAAAACACTGCTATTAGTGCAGTAGTTCCAATGAAAAACACACAAAAAAGTTACACTTTCCCAATTAATTCATATGGTTTTGGTTTTTTGCATTTCCTAGCACACATCAATGTTTGCTCCTCAAAATACTAAGATATCATATTACTATCTTGCAGGAATTGTAGAGCTTTACCTCTGAAAATTCTGAGGCATTCACTGAGATAACATCCTTTAACTTCTCTATAGATTTCTTATTTTCTGATATCTGCAATGGGGAAAAAAAGGGCACAAAAATGTTTTAGGATTGCAATAGAAATACTGGGATATATGATAAAAGGAAGAAACATTAACAAAACACATCCCAGTGCTATCCCCTAGGTACTGAGTAAAAGCAGAGGATCCAATTTTGGCCTACGAGAAAAGTCAAGAATGTAGAAACATAAGGAAAGAAAATAATGAAGACACAGACATTTCATACCATTCAAAACTTTCCTAGTTATGACATAATGTGCTACATGATGAGACTAAAAAAGTCAAAGCAAAGAAAATGAAAAAAAAAAAATCAATTAAACCAGTTCAAATTAATGAATTTTCCTAGTGGTCAAGAAAAAAATCCCAAAGTCACTTAAAACTTCTCTTGCTAAACTAAAAATGACTGCACTTGAGGGAGAAGAGCCAAATCTCAGAAACAGTATTCCAAAATTTACAAAGCTACTCTGCCTTGTCAAGGAGATGGAGCCTAACTCTTCACACTTTAACTGTGGGTTGTGCACAGTAACTTTCTTCCAAACAGTATACCATGCAAAGGATGGAGAAAGGGTTAATTTCATAGCAGAGAAACCTGTCAAATACTACCTCAGTCAGGTGATCAAGCTTAACTGGGTATGCAATATACGGGAACATTCTCTACTATTTTTGCATCTTGTATGTAATTTGAAAACTGTTCAAGCATTTAAAGTTTATTTTTAGAAACAAAACATGCAAAAATAAATCAAAACAAAGTACAAAGACCACACAAAGGGGCAACTATTTCTTCGTTGCTCTACATGTTTCAAAGGGCAGGGCCAAGCAATGTGAAAATTACCCAGGGCAGAGGACAAAAAATGTTTTCTAGGCCCATAGAAATAGTAACTTGGGGTATCAGTATTTAAAATCCCACAAAAATGCACAGAAGTAGGTTCCACTTCTCTGACTTTCAATATGACTCTAGTTACAGCACAGGAAAATGCAGAGTTCATCTCACCCAACCTACAAAATAGTTCAAAAGCCAAATTATAGCAACACTTAAGAGCAAAACTCTTACCAAGTCCTGATTCTTGGCATTCTGTTCTCTCTCGGACTCTAACATAGCGCGTAAACTTTTAGCTGTGTCTCCCAGAATTTCATTAGTTTCTTCAAGATTCTTGATTTTATCCTACAAAAATATGGATTAAAAACAACCATTCATTATTTTTCTTTTGTTTTTAGAACGTAACCTCAAAAAGAAGAAATTTTTACCTTAAACTTAATTGCTTCATCAGAAAGAATCATGTTTTGTTTCTTGGTTTCTTGAACATGTTTCTTTGATTCCTTGATCTATATAAAATAAAGCATTTAAACTTTAGAAACATAAATTATAGTGCTATCAAAACTTTCTCCAAATAGGAGATCCCTGAGAGAAGAAAGCAGTAAGACATGGATAATGACTGCTTCATATTTGAAGAGTTTGTAGGAGATAATGAAACTTAAAACTATGATTTAAAAACACCATAATAACTGAACTATAAGACAGGAGGAAATAAGACAGAACCACAGAGGGGGAGAGGAAATGAAAGAATAATACCTTCTGCTCATAACTTGACAATTTTTGTACAAGTTCTGCGTTTTCTTTCATGATATTCTTCAACTTCTCAGAAATTTGCTGTTCAGTGACTAAAAAGGGTGGGAAATCCATAAAATTATCATGATAACTAAGAACTGAATTACCCAATGTATTAGCAGCAGACATGTTATCCAGCACTTTGAGGTAAATGAACTTAGCAGAACTATTATGCTTTTAAAAAGAAATCTGTGTTTAACAGCAATAAGGGTATAAACATATCATTAAAATTTAAGGAAAAATATAATAACCCTTATTTCAAAGAGATTCCACTTCAAATTTATTTCAACGATAAGAAATATAGTAAAATGTTTTAGCTCAGTATCTTTCCCCTTTGTGAACATCTTTCTTCTCAGAAAATGTGATCACTTCAAATATATTTCATTTGAAAATAGAAACAGAAAATGCAAGCATACTGACTTATATCTCTATTCCTCAAATTATCTACGTAAATATTTACTGTACTGAATAAATCATTAGCACAGGAACATGTTCACAGGTAATAAGTTGCATTACACCAACATCCAAAGTCAGTCTGCTCAAACTGAATCTTCTCCCTACACTCACAATTTGTTCCACCTCATCTCCTCTCACCTACTAGCATCACCATCTACTCTGTCATCTAAGCATACAACCCAGGATTAGTAAAATGTTCAGGAATTAATCAGAGATCAGATGTCACCATTTCTACTTTTAGCTTACATAAAACTCAGATCAAATATCAATACTGAGGATATAGCACAAATAACAAAATAAGCCTGAATATTTACCTTGATATACTCTACTCTTTACCTAAAAGAGAAAGAAATAAGCTTGATGTCAAGACATCTTATTAATAGGATTATTATAGTTCTTAACACAACAGTCAAATCATAACCAAATGAAAATTTAACAATGGTTTGATTAAGCATAAGGATCCACAGGATTAAAAAACAGGAAAAGGCTAAAAAAAAATTTCAAATGTAATTGGTAGTGATACTTCATAATAGTTCCTGAAGGATAAATGCACTAAGGTAAATACATTATTTTTGCAATGAAAGACACATTCATGTATCCTTTAAATGAGCTCTTAGTAAATGAGCACTTAAGTTCCATAATGGAAAGGAATTATTAGATATTTGAAAACTGCTGAGAGAGCAGCTCTTAAAAGTTCCCATCCCAAGGACGGGAAAAATCTTTTAACTATGTATTGGTGATGGACTGTCAACTAGACTTTTGGCAATTATTTTGCAATATATACAAATATCAAACCATTACTTTACACACTCGAAACTAGTGTAATATTACTTGTCAATTATATCTCAATTTAAAAAAAGTGAAACGGAGTAAGTAACATTTTCCTGTTAAATACACTAATGTTTCATTTACCCAAAACCATTTATTTGACAGCCTCAAATAGCCAGAATGAGATCTAGAAACAAAGATAACTGAAAAAGACTCTGAGGAAACAAATTAAAGGCATAATCAGGGAACTAAGATATACTTCTTTCACCAGAAAACATCTTACAAATCCTAATCAAAGTTGGCTACTGGGTGAATTTAGAAATCTAATAAATTAGACCATCTGATTTTCCCAACTCCCTAAAAATGAAGATCATAAATCTAAAACGGAAAAGACTGCTGAGGGAAAAGTCGGACAAGACTTAGAAACTAAACAACAACAAAAGGAAAACATACAAGCAACAAGAAAAATAACAGCCAGTATCTTCTAAATCATCCCCTAGATGTTCTGAGAGAACAGCACTGAAACAAGTATACTATCAAGGGTGGAACAGATCACCAGCCCAGGTTGGATGCATGAGACAAGTGCTCAGGGCTGGTGCACTGGGAAGACCCAGAGGGATGGGATGGGGAGGGAGGTGGGAGGGGGGATCAGGATGGGGAACACATGTAAATCCATGGCTGATTCATGTCAATGTATGGCAAAAACCACTACAATATTGTAAAGTAATTAGCCTCCAACTAATAAAAATAAATGGAATAAATAAATAAATCATCCCCTAGTGTCAACACCGAATTAAAGAATAAAATCCAACAAACAGTACTCAATTTTTTAAAAAGTGTTACTGAATGTCCCTGTAACCTACTCCCTTTGCCAAACGTCATAAATGGTGATGAGATGCTCAGATCAGTCCACAAATCATCCACGGTATCTCAGTATTATTATATTATCTAACACCATTTTTAATGATGGTCTCCACAAGAAACTACATTCAGTTTCAACACAGAACTAATGACAATTTCTCTAATGTCACAGTCTTGCTAATGAGAAAGTAAGCTTCCTTTATCCTCTCACCCAAAGCAACAGGTAGGAGAAAGAAGCAAGGAGGAAGAAGCAAGAAGCAGGCAATGAGAGTACGGAACAAGATCCTAAATGTTGAGACTGTGGGGCAGCAGTTAGCACATAAAGCCTACATAACCTTGTGTCAGAGGTTTTGAGATGGGAGAACCAAGACTGGAAAATAGAAAATGGTTTCACTGTCTATTCTCTCTTTTTTCCTTGTAGCTGAGGAAAAGCCTCATGAGATTTAAGGGGTCTTCACAACAATCCAGGCAAAAGACCTTTGTTTTTAAATCATTTGACAATCACTTGTGCAAGGAGAAAAAGCTTATTAACAATGATATGACTGAGAGAATTAGGAAATCAGAAGACTCAATTTTAGAAAGATGTGCATGCATCATAAAGGTGCTTCTGGCCACTTTAACTGCTAAGTTTCAACTGAAACCTTTTCATCTGCAAAGCTCATTTATACAGAGTAACTTTTCCCCCAATTAGATGACTGTGAAACAGAATCGCTAAGTATGTATCTGCACGAGAATACATAACCTATAAGCATGAAAGACAAATTACGCACAGGAAAGGACTCTAAGGAATAAAAATTTTAATGGTGTCTACAGACACTACGTAATCTGTATTTCCAAATTAAAAGGTATCTTCTGAACACAACAGCATATGATCAAATTAGAAAATATGTGAAACATATATGTAAGGAAAAAGACTGAAAAATTATTTTTGATATATATTTTTACCATTTGCAGCATTTCTTCTGTGTGTATATACTTTTACATAATAGTTTATCTACACTTTAAAGTCTTGGTTGTGGCTTTCTTCCACTTAACATTAAATTGTGAGCATTTTCTGTGCCCCAGTATCTTTGAAATACATAAATTTTAAGAGCTGCCTAATATCTCATTATATGGATGTACGATAATAACCTGCCCCCACAACAGATCATTTAGGTTCTCAAGTTTTCACTCTAATTAATATGGTTCCATTTTTAACACCCCATATATCTTTTAATTTATGACTGGTTATTTCTTTAGGATAGATTACTTGACATGGTATTATACTATACAAAAGGACATGAACATTTTTAAGGCTTCTGATTTGTAAACTAAAGTTTCCCCACTGAGATTATACACATATCATCTTGTTCACCTAAGTCTTTACCAACAAAGATTGCACTGAATTATCTTATAACGTTAGCTTGGATTATAAGCATTCATTTGAGTTCAAGTTAGTAATTAAAAGAAAAGCAAAAGGGCCAGTGATATTCCTGTTTAAATGAGTCTAAAGATATAAATTAATTCACTCACAGCAAGGACGGTTCTCCAGAAGAAAACGGCAAATGAAACAATTCCTAAGGAGGCAGTGATAAGTACAGGCTTCCACGGCAGTCCATAAAAATCAGGCCCAGGCTGGACATCCTCAGGCAATGTAGCAAGGAGCTGGAAGAGAAACATTAGAAATAGTGGGAAACCTGAAAGAAATTTAAGATAAAGCATCACAGAGAATCATCCACAGAAATCTAATTCAATCTCCATTAGACAGCGATCCCCTAAACGTTCTTCATTATTTCCACTGCTTAAATGAAAAGAAGATACTGGCAGCCTCCTCTTTCCTGTTTGGCTTTAAGTCTTTTAAACATTATAAATCTCAATCTCTTTATGTGGAGCATATATTTCCATTCTGCAACAGTCTCCAAAACACCATTTTGTCCAACACACGGCTAGAATCCCTCTGGATCACCCTTTTTCTCTTTTAGTTAATTTGTATGATTTGAGAAGCCACATTAAAAAAAAATTGAAACATTACTATAGAAGCTTTTACAGCTGCTATTAAAACCAGAGTGATAATGAACACCACAATTAGCTTTTCCTCTGAGATCTTAAGTCTTAACTGTTTTCTACTTACATAAAAACAAACACCAAGAAACTTCAGACAGTTCCCGATAACTGGTCTAGGCAGACCGCTCTTAACTGGTTCCTAGAAATTGTTTCATTACAACAGGGCATTACACTCCTCTCCTTTTCTACACTCTTTACTGTTGTACCGACCCCATCCCCCAACGGTGTCATGGGTCAAGTGAAAAGGACCCGCAGGGACGTGATACTCGCTTATTTTGACCGAACTGTACACTCGAAAGCAACACACTGCCTGCCACATCATAAGTACTCAATTAAAAAAAAAATGAAAGCGCCACAAAACCTTCTCAAATACACTCCCACCATCTCCTTAAACAGCACCGGAAAGTCCTGCCGCCTCAGGCCTGACACACACTTTATTTCTCCTCCGCCCGGTCAGGGCACCCACTCCGCTCAGAACTCGTCCACCCGCCTGCCAGAGCTGAGGGTGAGGGCCGTCACCTCCAGAAGCCTAGCTATCAGGGCTGCGTAGAGCACCGACAGGGGTCCCAGAAGCTCCGGGTCCCCCGGGGAGGCGGTAACAGAAGGCACCGTGGCAGGTACTGAGTCCATCGTGACGGGACAGCGGAGCGCGGCCGACGCTTCCCTGGTGGACGGCTCCGGAACCCCTCTCTATCACCGCTTCCTCCTTCGGAAAAGACCCGGCTCAGGGGGCGGAAACTCGGACTGAACTTCGCCTTCGTCGGCCTCTGGCACTTTCGCTCCGCGCCTCCTGGAAAACACGTCATCACACACGGCCCCTGGCGGAAGTACGGACGCCTACGGGGACCGGGCCCGCGGGGGCGGGGCCACAGGGAAGAAACCTAAGGTCAAGAGCGCCGCGGGGAGAAAGGCGCGAAAAACTGGAGGGGGAGACGGAACGGCTCAGCAAGTGGGAGAGACAGCGCGATTCCCTGGGCCCGGGAGTTTCGAGGACGCTCAGCGGAGGCTGGGGGAAAGGAAGAAGGTGGCCCGTTTACGCCTGCCCAGAGCTGGACCCTTTTATCTCCAGGTGCTGAGACGCCAGAGGGCGGGGCCACAGGGAAGAAACCTAAGGTCAAGAGCGCCGCGGGGAGAAAGGCGCGAATAACTGGAGGGGGAGACGGAACGGCTCAGCAAGTGGGAGAGACAGCGCGATTCCCTGGGCCCGGGAGTTTCGAGGACGCTCAGCGGAGGCTGGGGGAAAGGAAGAAGGTGGCCCGTTTACGCCTGCCCAGAGCTGGACCCTTTTATCTCCAGGTGCTGAGACGCCAGCCGCTCCCGGTGCCTGATGGACCGCCCTCCGCCTCGGCCGCGACGCAGGGCCAGGTTCCTTCCCGGCCCTCTGCGGTCTCCGGTTTACTTTTTCCCTGCCAGGCTGCCCCCCACGTTCTCGCTGATGCCCCTCTAAGAAGTATAATTCTACGGAAGCTTGTCTTTCTATACTTTTATGCCAGTGGGGTCAGTTCTGAGTCCCACATTTTACGGTTTTAGGATTTGTGGAAAAGGACAAGGAAGTCTGGAAATCGCGTTCTAAGGGTTGAAGATAATAAAAATATTTAATCCTGGGGGGGGGGGGTGGAGTGGCTGATGTTTTTAGATGTTTAAAGGTATGATGTTTATGAGTTGAATATAAAGTCAATTCAGAAGAACAATTAAGCAGGGAAAGCTAGAAATAGAAGGGAGGTGGGGGGAGTAGTGGGCTAAGTCATGCTCCATAATTAAAACAGTGTGGTACTGACCCGAGAATCATACAGACAGACCATGGGACAGTATAGAAAAATCTAGAAATAGACCCAACTACATTGGCAACTTAGGGTACAGTAAGAGTCGACTGTGAGAAAAACAGACTTTTTAACAAGTGGCGTTGACATAACTAGATAACCAAATGGAAAATAATAAAAATGGGATTTTTTCACCCTCACTGTCCAAAAGGATAAATTCCAACTAGGTCAGAAACCTGAATGTAAAAATGGGAACAAGTAAGTACTAGAAAAAATATGGATGAATTTCTTGATTATTCAGTTCAGTTCAGTCACTCAAGTCCTTTCCGACTCTTTGCAACCCTATGGACTGCAGCTCGCCAGCCCTCCCTGTCCATCACCAACTCCTGGAGTTTACTCAAACTGATGTCGATTGAGTCGGTGATGCCATCCAGCCATCTCATCCTCTATCATTCCCTTCTCCTCAATCTTTCCCAGTATCAGGGTCTTTTCAAATGAGTCAGTTCCTCGCATAGGTGGTCAAAGTATTGGAGCTTCAGCTTCAGCATCAGTCTTTCCAATGAATATTCAGGACTGATTTCCTTTAAGATGGACAGGTTTGATCTCACAGTCCAAGGGACTCTCAAGAGTCTTCTCCAACACCACGGTGCAAAAGCATCAATTCTTCGGTGCTCAGCTTTCTTTATAGTCCAACTCTCACATCCATCCATGACTACTGGAAAAACCATAGCTTTGACTAGACAGACCTTTGTGGGCAAAGAAATGTCTCTGCTTTTTAATATGTTGTCTAAATTGGTCATAACTTTTCTTCCAAGGAGCAAGCATCTTTTAATTTCATGGCTGCAGTTGCCATCTGCAGTGATTTTGGAGACCAAAAAAATAAAGTCTGTCACTGTTTCCATTGCTTCCCCATCTATTTGCCATGAAGTGATGGGACCAGATGCCATGATCTTAAGTTTTCTGAATGTTGAGTTTTAAGCCACCTTTTTCAGTCTCCTCTTTCACTTTCATCAAGAGGCTCTTTAGTTCTTCACTTTCTGCCATAAGGATGAGGCTACTGATATTTCTCCTGGCAATCTTGATTCCAGCTTGTGCTTCATCAAGCCCAGTTTCTCGTGATGTACTCTGCATATAATGCAAATAAGCAGGGTGACAGTATACAGCCTTGAAATACTCCTTTCCTGATTTGGAACCAGTCTGTTGTTCCATGTCCCAGTTCTAACTGTTGCTTCCTGACCTGCATACAGGTTTCTCAGGAGGAGAAATCTGTATTTCCCATCTCTCCCAGAATTTTCCACAGTTGTTGTGATACACACAATCAAAGGCTTTGGCATAGTCAATAAAGAAGAAATAGATGTTTTTCTGGAACTCTCTTGCTTTTTTGATGATCCAGCGGATATTGGCAATTTGATCTCTGGTTCCTCTGCCTTTTCTAAATCCAGCTTGAACATCTGGAAGTTCACGGTTCACATACTGTTGAAGCCTGGCTTGGAGAATTTTGAGCATTACTTTACTAGCTCAGTTTTTTT